ATTTTTTTTTTTTTTTTTTTTTTTTTTTTTTGTTACAAAGAAAACATGTTGAAAAAAAAATTAAAAGATATAAAGGAATAAGCAAATATAAAATTAAAATAAAATGTACATTAAAAAGTTAAAGAGAAGTAATTATTACTTCATATATATAAGAATATAAGAAAAAAAAAAAAAATTTGAAAATCATATTTCTCATTATGGATATAAAGGAAAGTTTAAATAAGAATTCTCAAAAAAAGGTTTTACACAAGAAAAATATTAATGATTTATATAATGAAAAAAAAAAAGCTAGTGAAAATGAAAATGAAGATAATAAAGAAAGAAAAACAATAACTAATAAGAGTATTATATTTTTTCAAATATTTATATTTATTATATATTTTCTTGTATTACTCATTGGATCTTTTAATTTTTCTTTTAAACTTTTTCAAGTAAGAGAAAAACATTTGTATGAATTTCTTAATAACAGAGAAGAGTTATTTTGTAAAAGTTATTTAAAAGAAAAGGATAATAATAAAAAAATACTTTATAAGAATACGAATAATTTAATTGATAATAATGATACCTTTCCTTATGTAAATTTTAAATATTATTTTACAAGAGCTAAATATAATATAAAAGAAGAAAATAAAATAAACAAAAATAAGAGGCAAATAAAAATATTTATTTGTTTAAATAAAAAAAAAAATTTTGATTATAGTGATTTTTACAATATTTTTTCAAGTTTCAAAAAATATGTGACGAAATTTTTAAGTTTTTCTTATAACGAAATAAAAAATGCCTTTTTTAGAAAAAATAATAATAATTATATAAACAAAGTAATGAAGTACTATGCGAAAAATGATCTTATAGGTAATAAATATTTACATTATAATTTTTTATTAAACAGTAATGATTCTTATAAAAATTATTATGTAAATATTGAAACATTATTTTACTTATATTTGTATGACATTTGCTATTTACATGATTTTAATTATGTTAAGAATCAAACATATAATTTATCAAAATCATATATGGTTTTTGATAAGATGAATGAGAAATTACATATTGAGAATAAAAAGGATATTACACTTTTAATAAATCATGTAGATAAATATTTAAATGACGAGATACTGGTTAATTTATTAGATAAATTATATTTAGATATATGTAAAAGGGAAAATTTAATAAATTATTTAAAAAATAAAAATGATAAAAAAGAAGAAACAGATAGACATAATGGAAGTAATTTAAAAAGTGATATCAAAAATAGTAAACTCGCATATAATTATAATAATGAAAATACATTAAAAGATACCAATTACAACGAATATTATATATTATATAATAAGATTGAAAGTATGAGAAATATAAATAAATATAATACTTTTATAAGTAGATTAAGAAAAAAAATAAAAACAATAAATTCTTTAAAATCATTAAATATGTGTTTAAAAGAATATATAATAAATTTAAAAAAAGTTCCACTATATTTTTTTTTGAACATCTTTTATGATACTCCGTGTTATGTTTATAATAAACCAATAAGCAATTTATTAAGGAATTATTACAAAGGAATATTCCTTTATTTTGTAATATTTATAGGTTGTATACATGTTGTTTTTTCTCCATTTCCCATAACTCTTGTTCATTTTCGTAGATTTTTCATTTATTTTTTGATTATTATGTATCGCTTATTTATTTTATATTTTATTCCTTCTATAATTCAATATATAATTTATAAATTTCATTATTTTAAAGAAGAATATATTCACATATTTGATTATTCCGATCATGTTATTTTATTCTCTACTTTGTTATTTATTATATCTTTAGAATCAAAAGCCATTCAATATACTATTAATCATCAAAAACAAAGTTTTGATTATTTTCATTATAAATATAACAGAAAATTATGTTTCTTTTTTTTAAAATTGATTTTGTATTATTATTATATTCTTATATTTTTCTTTTTATATACAAGTTATTTTACTTCTAAATATTTTCATACAACTAATGAAATTTTTGTTGCATATTTTTTTTCCACATTTTCAATTTTTTTTTTCTTTTATTTTTTTTTATATAAAAATTATTTCAGTTTTTATACTATTGGAATAACATCTTATATAAAAAATAATTCAATTACTACAATGAATGTTTTACATTCTGCACCTTATTTAGCAAATGCATATAATTCTTTAAAAGACAAATTTGCTTTTGATTAATATGGATAGTTTAAGATAATTTTATATATGTGTATTTATTTATTTTATTTTTTTTCTTTTTTTTTTTTTTTAAATATATATTTATAAAAATTATACTATTTATATTTCAATAAACTATGCTCTATATATAATCTTTAATTTTTAATAGTTACATTCCTTATTTCTTTTTTTTATTTTTAACACTTTATATAATACATCAAAGCAAATTTTGATTTATTATTTTTTTTTTTTTTTTTATTTGTCTTTTTATAATAATATCTTAACTTTTTTTTTTTTTTCGTCATTAAAAAAAAAAAAGTAAATGAAATATTATAATTTTTTTTTTTTTAAATTTTAAATGATTGTAAATACAAAGCAAATGAGTCATAAAATATAAGTAAACCAATTGAAGGATTTCATAGAAAAAATAAAAAGATAAAAAAAATTTTAAAATAAAAAAAAAAAAATTTGCATATAATATATTATATGAAGCAAATACTTGAAATATTTTTTTTACATTAATTTTTATTTAAATATACTTTTTTTTTTTTTTTTTTTTCTTGGAAAGCTTTTAAAAAAGAATATTAATACTCTTAGTATGAAAGTAATCACTTAATAATTTATTAAATAATTAACATATTTTTTCTTTAGAAGAATGACATCTTTATTTTATAATTCATTTTGATTTTAATTAACATTAAATGTTGTATCCCTTTGAATTAATTCGATTATGTAATTATCTGGGTCATATATAAAAGCAATGTTTTTCATTATTCCCTCATTTACTTTTTTTTTAAAAGGAATATTTAGACTTTCTAATTCTTTACAATAATCCTCTAAATTATCTACTAAAAATCCTATATGCCCAAAACCTCTTGGTGTAGTATTACCATTATGATATGAAAATTTATCATCGTCTTCTGTACCATGATTATGTGTTAACTCTAAAACAGGATGCCATGACTTTTTAAAATTTTCATACGTTTCATTAGATTGATAAGAATTCCTTAATGAATTAAAATCGTATAATCCTCCTTCCTCTGTATTATTTGTATCTTTTTCATTTAAATATGTAGACTTTAAAAAATATAAAGAAAAATCATCATTGTGCTTAATATGAACTAATTTCATATCTAATATATTTATATAGAAATATAAACTTTTTTCAGGATTTTTAATTCTAATCATAGTTTGAGAAAAGTTAGTAATTTCCTTTTTATTTTTCCATTTAACTTCACTTGATCTTTTAACTATTTCTATCCAATAGTTATTGGGATCTAAAGCAAATCCAATGGTTTTCATTTTAGTTTCATGTGGCAATTTGTGAAATTTTACATTTTTTTTTAAAAGTTCATCACATAATTCTACGACATCATGGCAATTAAATGCTATATGACCAAATCCTCTATCATCTTCATTGTTCCCATTACTTAGTTTTTCTTCACTATTATGATTATGAGTTAATTCTAAACAAACAGTGTTTAAATTCCATAAGTATTTTTCAGATTCTCTTGTATTTTTTTTTGGAATTTTTTTCTTTTCTTCTTCATCATAAGGAGGGGTTATCATAAAATATAAAGAAAAATTTTGTTCATTAAAATGATAAGTATGAATATTTATCATACCAAAATTTTTTTCATAAAATTCTACTGTTTCTTTAGGGTTATAAATACGCAACATAGTTTGATGCCATGTTATATTATACTTTTTCCCAAAATTTAACATTTTTCCTTTCATTTTTTATAAATACATAATATAAAATTAATATATTACGTTTTCATTTAATTTATTTATCTTTTTTTTTTTTTTTTAATTTATATATTATTACTATTATTTTACTTTTTTTTTTTTTTTAAAGTATTTTAATTTTTCAACAAGTATAAATATTTGATATTCTTATAAAAAATACAAAGTATAAATATATATATAAAAAAAAAAAAAAAAAAAAAAAAATTTTTTGTAACTATTAAGTAGTTAATATATACAAATGTTATTAAAAAAAAAAAATTGCATACACACTTAATAGTTTCGTAAATATAATTTTTCTTTCTATATATTTATTTATTTATTTTGCTTAATTTTATCAAATTTTAGAATTTTATTTTAACTTAAAAAAAAAAAAAAAAAGCTTTTTCTAATAATGTATAATTCACGTAATGTATAATGATTTTTCAAATAATGTAATAAGAACAACTAAAATTAAAAAAATTTCTTCTATTTTTGATCTTAAAAATAAATATTTTTCTAATTGTAAAAAATAAATATACATTAATAACAAAATTCATTTATAATGTTCCAACAAAAAATGAAAAAATAAATAAATAAATTTTAGTTAAAATAACATTAATAAGAAAGTTACAAAAAAAAAAAAACATTTACTTTTAAAGTATATCCAATATATTTTTTTTTTTTTTTTTTTTTTGTTTGTTAAAATTTAAAAAGTTATCATTGGTATTAAAATATGAAACATTAGACTCTTCATTTCTACTTATTTTATTTTCGTTTTTTCTTTTTTTTATTTTATTATTTTTAGATGAACTATCATTTTTTTTAATTTTACTATTAGTATTGTTAAATATTTCGTCCTTATTGCTATAACTGTTGAAATTATAATATGATTTTTGAATTATATCATTTTGTTTACCATAATCAATTCTAAAAAGATCATTCATATTTTCATAAATATTATTTTTAAAATATTCTTCATTATCATCTTTTTCTTCTTTAATATTTTCTTCATTTTTATTATTTATACTTATATTATCTACATTTTCAATTTCTATATTTACATCTTCTCCGTCCTCCTCTTCTATATTTCTATTATCTACATTTTCAATTTCTGTATTTACATTTTCTCCGTTCTTCGTTTCTATATTTATATTTTCTTTATTTATAGAAACTTCATTTATGTTTTTGTTATTATCATTATTTTCATCTTCATTTTTTTTTTTTATGGCAAATTTTTCAATATCATTTATTAAGAAAAAATTTAAATCAGTAGAATTATTTGGATATTTATTAGTTTTAAAAGAATTATTTTTTTTTTGTTTAATAAGATTTTGTAAATTTACACGTTTCTTATGGTTACATAAAAAACATTTATATAAAATTGTATTTTTGTCTTGTATTTCTTTTATTTCACAATTATAAAAAGGAATATATATTAAATTACAATAGTGACAACATATATGATCAAAAAGTAAATTGTTATTTGATATTTTTTTTATTAAAGTAATGTATTTCATTGATAATTTTGCATTAACATAAATAGTAGATAAAGCCAAATTCCATAAGTATTCTATTCTTTTATCAATTAGTTTATCTCCTGTTATAAGAGAAAATTTTACTTTATTAACATAAGCGTTTACTTCATTTTTCTCCTTATTTTTTTCATTCATACTTTTTAAATATAATGAATTATTACAGAATTATTGTATTATAATTAAAAAAATAAAATAAAATAAAACTTCTTATCTTTTTTTTTTATTATAATTCTTTACTTTTTTATAATTGTTATTTTATTTTTAATCATATTTATTATGAATATATATATTAAAAAAAAAATTCATTTCAGTAATGTTTAATTAAATTTCAATTAAAGTTATTAGTGATACTATTAATATTCTATCTTATGTTATTTTTTTTTTTAAACAAATAATAATGACAATTTATATCATTTTCTATATTAACTTGAAGTTCTTTCATTCTGAAATTATTTTATATTTTTTCCTTTATAATTTTGCTTCTTTCTATTTTTCTTTCATATGTTAAATATATATTTATGCTTAAATTATAGATTCTTTCATTTTTATAATATAATAGTATGTTTAAAATATTTTAATTTTATTAAATGAGCAAAAATAAAAAAAAAAAAAAAAAAAAAGGTAATGTATTGTAGTAAAAAAAAAAATATTAAATTTTTTTTCAAAAATATCTTGCAAATGAATAAAATCAAAGAACTTAAAAAAGTTGTAATTGATGTAACAAATTTAAAAAAAAAAAATATTCTTAAAGATCAAAAATAATTACTTAAAAATTCAGTTATCTTAAAAATGTATGATTTAAAAAAAAGTAATTTCAAAAAAAGAAATACACCAAAAAAAAAAAAAAAAAAAAAATTTTTTCATTTCTAAACATATAAGAAAAAAATTGAATTGTTGAATACATATAACAATTTATCAAAAAGCACTAAAATTTTTTTTTTTTTTTTTTTTTTATAATATAATATAAAAAAAGGTTAAAACAAAAAAAAATTAAAACAGAATGAAAAAAAAAAAAAAAAATAAAGTTTATTAATATTATCTTTGTTAATTCTTAACAATTTCTCTTAAATTTTTATGTTCACATTAAAAAAAAAGAAATAAAAAAAAAATATAAAATAAATATATAATGAAATAAAAACATAATAAAGTTTTGTTAACAAATATTTTTTTTTTTTAAGTTCAAAATAAATTATTTTTTTGATATATACAAAATTTTACATTTTATAAAACTTTATACAATAAATAAAACAACAAATAGTTCAATAATTAATTACCAAAAAAAAAAATTGCTTTCATTGCATTATTTTTTTAAATTATAAATTTTTTTTTTTTTTTTTTTTATCGTCTAATATTGTAATATTAGTATTCGAATTTTTCATGGTATTTTTTTAGATTTTGGGGGTTTTCAACTAATTTAATAAAAGTTGTATTACCATCATCGGAATAAGAAATTGAATTAGGAATAACTTTAAAATTCTTCATAAGATAATTAATTCTATTTCTAGCTTCTTTTGTTGGAAAATTCAGAGTTAAAATGTTAACATCTTTTATTTTATTAACTATATTCTGAATTATTTTTATAAGAATATCGCAATTTGTGCCACTCTTTGCTGAAATTGGTAAAACACTTTTTGGTTTATTTTTATATAAGTTTAATATTTGCTCATCTGTTAATTTATCTATTTTATTCCATACTTCTACAACATTATTTTTTATAAATTCATTTGATATTCCTATATTGCTTAATGTATCAATAACACATTTCTTATGTTTTTCTTTATAAGGATGAGTTACATCTATAACATGAATAATTATATCAGCTGTTTTAATTGCTTCTAGAGATAATTTAAACGATTCATATAAAGAATAAGGAATATTTTGAATAAAACCAATGGAATCAATAAATATAGTTGAATAACATTCGGATATGTTCAAATTTTTATATGAATTATCTAACGTTTGAAAAAGCAAATTTTTTGCTTTTAAGTTAGATTTTGTTAAGTAATTAATTAACTTTGTTTTACCTACATTTGTATAACCTACTATAGCTATTAAAGCCTTATGTTTTCTTGAGTTGCTTTGTAAATTTGTATTATTTTTGCATTTTATTAATTCTTTTTTTAATTTGCTATACAGATTATTAATAATTCTTTTTTCATATTCCTTGTAGGTCTCATTGCTTTTTATATAATTACTTGTATATCCCAAGTAATCAGAATTTTTTTTTTTTTTTTTTTCTCTTATTTCAAATGTGTTTAATTTGTTATACTTTTCTTCATAATCCGAACTTGATTTTCCTAATACATTATTTTCAATATATTTTATATATTTCATCCTTGATCTACTATCTTCTGAATATGTATTAAAAATAAAATTTGCTCTTGCGAATTCCAATTGTAATTTACTCAAATTACTTTTTGCTCTACTTTTAAATATATATAAAATGATACTATACCTATCGAATAATTCTACATATAATGGTATACTATTCCCTTTTTTTCTTTTATAATTATGATCTATTTGTTTATTATAACCATAATGTTCCTCATCATCTTGTTCGTATAAATTTTCATCTTCATATTCATCATCCATTTCATCCTCTTCTCTTTCTTCTTCTTCTTCTTCTTCTTCTTTTTCTAAATAACTATTGTATAAATCAAAATACATTTCATTTTCATATAAATTTTCCTGAATAGTAGAATTGTTTTGAATAATGTCTGTTAATCTAATCGAGTTTTCACTTAATTCATTTTGTCTTTTATTATTTAATTTTAATTCATCATGAAAACTCCTTAATAAACTATTAAACATAAAATCTAAATTACGAAATTGTTCTGGTGATAACAAGGTATTAATAAATATATATGGTGTCGGATTTTTAAGATAATATTTTGATAATTCATTTAATTTTCCTTTCCCAAAATAAAACTTATTATCTATTTTATTAGCTTTAATTATAATTGATTCTGCAATTTTTTTTTCTATTTCTTCATAATCTAAGTATTTATAATTATTATTATTACAATTATTACTACTATTTTTACATAGTTCCTTCTTTGTATCCTCTTTTATATCATTACCTTGTTCCATCATTTCTTTTGTTTTGCAATCTAGGTTAATAGAACAACTAACACTTGAACTATTTTTCACTTCATAATTTTCATTTTCACCCCTAAAATTTTTTGTCATATGTTTATTCAAATAACTTTCTTCATTTTCATTGTTTTTAATTGAGCATCTTATTTCACTATTATTAGTTTTAAATGAATGTATTGTTTCTTTTTTATTATATTTATCTATATATTTTATATTCCATCCACCTGAAGGCATAGAAATACCATTCGCAATTTTGAAATTAGCTGATCTAGCTAAACCCAAAGCTTCCTGAGCATCTAGAATTGTCTCATCAAATGAATTTTTATATTTTTTTGCACCTTTTAATACAGGATGTATAACAATAATTTCCTTTTTTTTTTTACTATTATACAACTTTACTTTGGTTTCATTATAAAAATAACTTTTTCTAATTTTAAATATATCCCTTACTGAAAAAAAAGAAAATTTCATTTTCATATCTTATTTATAATAAAGCATTACATACATATTTATATTAATTTGATCTATTCACAATATAAAGAATTACAAAAAATACACAAAAAAATCATATTTTTTTTTTATTTCTATTTCAGATGTTTTAGCTAAAATATGATTTATTTTATTTTTTTTTTTTAATTTTCCATCAGAACAATTAAGATATATAAAAACTTCTACTTTTAAATTATATAATTTTATATAGATATAAATTATCTACTTTTTTTTTTTTTTTTTAACATGCATTTATAAGAATTAATTATATTTTCTTTTATTTTTTTTTTTCTAAATATTAAGATAAATTGTGTAATATAAATGTTATTCTTTCCTTTTGTGGGATAGTAACATTTATAATTTAATATATTTTATTCCAAAAAGAGGTCTTTCTTTTTTCCTCTTTTACTAGAAGTAATTTTTCGAGAAATTGCATATTTTTTTTTTTTTTTTTAACAAGATAATGATATGCTTCCTTTTTATCATTTTCAATAGAATTTTTTTTTTTTTTTCCTAAATTTTAATGACATTCTTTTCAATAAAATATCAAAAAAATATTTCTATTCCTTTTTTTTTCTTTATATTTTTATATATATTTGTAATTTTTTTTTAAAATAGAATAACATATAAATAGTTTATATACAAAAAGTTCATCATATTTTTTATAAATTTAAGCATATATAAATAGCATATAAATTATTAAGCATGTATATATACAGCATGTGCACATGAAAAAAAAAAAAAAAAAAAAAAAAAAAAAAAAAAAATTCAAATAAAAATAAAATCAAATAAAAAATTTAAATAATAAAAAAATATATTCTCTTGTAAAATATTTAAATAAAAAAACAAAAATTTTGAAAACTTAAATATTCATTTGTTTATAAAAGAGTTAATAAGCTCAAGAAAAAAAAAATTTTTTTGACCTATAAAATAAAGGAATTAAATGATTGTTTAATAAATTTCTTAAAATTAATATTTATATATAAAATAAGTTTATATATATATATTTCTTTAATTTGAATGAATTATATTTTTATGTATAATATATAAAAATGGTTATAAACGTATCATTTAAAGTTACAGGAGGTAAAGAATTTACTATATCTATTGAACCAGATATAACTGTATTGGATCTAAAAAAAAAATGTTGTGATCATGTAGATATACCTGTTGAAGCACAAAGAATTATTTTTAAAGGTTTATATTTATACAAAAAATAAATACAAAATTTTATATTTTGATTACATATAAATACAATTTTTTGGTAGATTTTAATAGATGTTTTAAGATTAGTTATGCATACATAATTTTTAGTATATATTTTTAAGATCTTTATTTTATTTATTTTATGAATTAATAGGCAAAATATTAAAAGACAAAGAATCTTTATCAACATATAATGTAGCGGATGGAAATACAATGCATTTAGTTCGTAGTGCTATACCGACAAAAGAACGTAAGAAAAAAAAAAAAAAAAAAAAAAGGAAAAAAGAAAAAAGAAAAAAGAAAAAAGAAAAAAGAAAAAAGAAAAAAGAAAAAAGAAAAAAGAAAAAAGAAAAATATATTTAATTATTTCCTAAAACAATATTTTATATATGTTTTTTTTTTTTTAGCTGAAGAAGAAAAAGAGAATAATAAGAATGAAAGTTCTAGTAATCAAAATACCAATTCAAATGATAATTTAAGTGATTTAAGTGATAATCCCTTAGTTCAAATGTTGCTACAAAGTGGAACAGGAGGTATAAGATTCTGTTTATTTTTAATCTAGTTATATTATTGTATTTTAAACTATTAATAATAATTATAAACATTATGAATAATTTATAAAAAAAAAAATATCTTAACATATTCAAGGGATTAATTAACAATAGTGTTTATTATATATTATATTTATTACAATTAAGTTTTTTTAAATGCTTAATCTTTACATTTATCATTTTTTTTTTGGTTTATTATTTTATTATATTTTTTTGTCTATGTTTATATATTTATAATATTTTTTTATCTCTTTTTTTTTTTTTTTTTTTTATATGATGTCTTAGATGTGAACAATTTTAATAGTGGTACAGGAAGCGGAGATAATCTTAATTTTGGAAACTTTGCAAATTTGTTAAATTCCAATGGTGGGGAATTTAATAGAGATACAATTAGCTCATTATTGAATAACCCTTTAGCAAGATCTCTATTGAATGAATTGAGTAATAACCCAGAAATGTTAACAAATTTAGTATCTAATAATCCAATTTTAAGAAATACATTTTCTCAAAGCCCAATTATGCAACCTGTTTTAGAAAATCCAAATTTGTTAAGAGAATTTATGAGGCCAGAGGTTTTGCAAGCAGGATTGCAAATTGAAAATGCCTTAAATATGAATAATAATAACAATAATAATAATAATAGTAGTCAAAGGGGAATTAGAATGGAAGATCTTTTAAATAATTTAAATAATTTTACAAATACAAATACTAGTGCGAATAACACTGATAATAATAACCCTAATGAAAATAATAATAATAGTAATATTAATAATATTAATTCCCTTTTTCAATCTCAAGAATTGTTACAAACATTTCAACAAGTTATGAGAGCAAATCGTAACTTGGCAAATCTAAATTTTCCTAATTCCAGTCAAAATCTAGATTTCAATTCAAGTAATGTAACAGATAATAGATCACCAGAAGAAAAATATGCTTCTCAATTACTGAGCCTACAAGAAATGGGATTCATTGATAATGCTGCAAATATACAAGCCCTACAAGAAACAGGAGGAGATGTTAACTCAGCTGTTACTCGTTTATTAGAAAAAGGATTTAATTAATACATATATATATATATACATGTTTATACATTAAAATTTCACAAATCATATTTCTTTAATGTATTTTAAGTGTATTTTTTTTTTTTTTTTTTTTTTTTTCTTCATATATTTATGTTACAATGTTCACATGTGTAATTTTATAAAATTCCTATATTTTTATTATTATTATTTTTTTTTTTTTTATAATTTTTTTCTTTTTTGTATGTTTCAAATTTCCAAGACAACCTGCATAACTTTTATGATTTAAAAATGGAAAAAACAAATGTAATAGTTACAGTTTATAAAAAAAAAATTCTGTTTAATTAAAACATTTAATATTTATTTGAAACAGAAAAAAAATTACAATATATTAAAAAAAAAAAAAAAAATAAAAATTTAAGTAAAAAATAAAATAGAGACGCAGTGAAAGGTATTCAAAATAACATACTGTAAAAAATTCTTTGCTTATATTTTTTAGTTTTGTTTTTATTTTCGTATTATACTATTTTCTTTTATTTTGAACTTTTTTTGATAGTTGCTTTAAATAATTTTGAACAATTAAAGTAGAAAAAATGACAAAAACACAACACCATTGTAATGGTTTTAGCACATGACCAAATAAATATACAGAAACAATTGTACTTAATGCTTTTCTTAAAGTTGTGAAAAGACTAGTATATAAGCTACCATATAATTTAAGAGAGTTGAAAACAAAAAATTGTCCGAATGTTCCACTTAATGAAAAGGCTAATATATAATAGTAAGAGTCTGTATACTTACTTAAAAAATAGTAAGGTTTTAAACCTTCAATTATTAAAGATGCGATTAAATTAAAAGCAAACGCAAAAGAATTAACGTAAAACATTAAATTAATGGAATTAATATTATATTTACTTAATAACTTATCTTGTCTTGGCCCAGTTAAACCATCACAAAATAATGATATACATAAAAGAAAAATTCCAAAGGTAGTTTGATGAATTTCCTTTGCACTTTTTGTTTTTAATAAATTAAATATTACCAAAGATGATGTAATTAAAAAAACAGCAATATAATCGTAATAAGGATATTTTTTACCAAAAAATAAGTATCCACCAACTACTATTGGTATCATTTTTCCTGATTTCACAAGAACTTGAGTTGGGAAATTAACATGACTCAAAGAATAATTTGTAGCTATCATGGCTACTGAATAGGTAATAGATATCAACATTATTTGTTTAATAAAGTAAGTATCTACATTATTTTTCAAATCATTTATAAATTTATTGTTTTGCAATTTGCTTTTAATAAATATAGCTGTTAAGCTACAAATGCAATTAGATAAACACAAGACACATATCAAAAATATATTATAATAAAATTTTTCTTCCCCTTTTCCCAAATTTGGTAATTTTTCTTGATAATAACCAAAAATGATAAAAAAAAAATATATACCACAAATACAAAATACCCCATTTAAAAAATTATAAAAACTTGATGGCTCTTTGAAGCTTTTCTGAGAATTCATTACATTATTTCTTCTCGTTCTAACCATATTTCCTTACTATACGTTTTATATAAAAATAAAAAAAAAAAAAAAAAAAAATTACAATTATCAATGAAATACTTTAATAATATTTATAAATAAGATTAAAATTTGATTGTTCTTTTTAATATGTGCAAATATTTTCCTTTAAAAGATTAAACTTTATAATATACATATAAATATTCATTACTATTTATGCATAGTTTTATTTTTTTAAAAAAACAAAATAAAAATAAAAATTAAAATTAAAAGATTAAAAAATTTTAAATACTGTTATTATTAATGTAACTCCCAATTTTTTTTTTTTTCTTTTTTTTTTATTTTTCATAAATGTGTAATGTATAATTGCGAAATTTATAAAACTAAAATATTTCTAAAAAAATAAAATTATATATAAATTTTTTTTCTTTTTTTTTATAAAATTTATATTGTATATCAGTTTTATTTTTAATATATATTTTATTATATATTAATAAAAAATTTTTTTTTTTTTTTTTTTCCTGTTCTTTCTCAATTTAAATGAAACATTTATTTTATTACTATGTCAAATACAAAATACTTTTTCTAAAATATATATAAAAATTAAAACTTAAATATGTTTTTTTAAAAAATAAAGAAAATCTTGTGTAAAAGATATTTAATATTTTTTCATTAAATATAAAAAACTTATATTTTTTATTTAATTAATAAAACAAAACTGAATTCAGTGGAAAATCAATTTTTTTACCATAATAAAAATAAATTTCTAAAGTAATTTATTTAAAACTGAAAAATAATAGTAACATAGAGCAAATTCATATAAATTTTCGTATGCTTTTATATTGGTATTTTATTTATTTAAAAAGAAAATTTAGCTTATGTAACATTATGAACAAGTCTAGAAAAATTTATACATTTATTACTTTAAACTATCATAAGAAATAGTTAGTAAATACATATATATTCATTAAATTTTACAAAAAATATAAAAAAAATTGAAATAAACATATATATGCCTATTTCTTTATTTTTTCGAATTATAAAAATGTTATGTTAAAACATATATCAATATATTCCAGTTAATAATGGAAACATAATTCAAACAAAAAAATAAAAATATATTTTAATTATAATATAAATAAAATTAATTCAATAAAAAAAAAATTAAAATATATTTATATTAACAGTTCAGATAAAAAATTATATTAGTACTCTCAGCGATATCTTAAACTAACACGTTCTCCCATTCTTTTCCTTTTTCGTCTTAAAGCTAATTTTGTTTTTTTATTTTTGAAATACAATTCCTAAGATGTAAAAAAAAAAGAAACATATGTTTTTAAAATATGTTACGATTAACTTTCATACAAAAATTTTTTCATTTCAATTTTTATAAAAAATAATTAAAATTAAATAAAACCTGTGCTGGTTTTTTAACTATAGAATTATCCTTAATTTTTATATTAAATAAAAACATGTTATTAAAAAAAAAATAATTTTTCAAAATAATGTCTGACTTTATAGGTGTTAATTCATTATTAACTAGAGGTTTACAGAAGTCATTTTCTGATATTTTTTTAAAAAAACTAAATTTTTTTAAAGAATGTATAGTATTTTTTGATGAGAAAAAAATATTTCTTATTGGTAAAAATTTATGTAAGTTCATTTTTTATTATTTTTTTTTAAGATATATTTTTAAAAATAATGAACATTTTTTTTAAAAAAAAAAAAAAATTAGAAAGTTAAATGTACATAAAACGAAAAAATATTGTTTCATATAGTGCTGCACTATTTTACAAAAAAAAAAAAAAAAAAAATTAACACGTAAAAATATATATATATAAATATATATATATATATATATATATATATATATATATATATATATGTATATATATATATATTTATATATGAAAATATTTTTTGTGTATTAGTGCAAAAAAAAAAA